TGATACGACGTCGACATGACGTCAAGATATTAAACTAATTTTTGCAGATAGGCTTGTGGTTAGGAATTTATTCCGCCCTCGCCACGGGTTGGCCTGCTATGGCACTACTTGCAGGATACGGCCCACAATATATCCAAAAAGCAGAAACTTCACTCACCCACTGCATCCTCAGGAAAACGTCCTTTTAAAATGGCCCCTTCAAATTTCAGAAAACCGAAGGTCTGACAACATCATACCTTTGTACGAGTGTGCGGCGACCTGCCTTTTTTTTAACTCGGGCCCCTCGTTCTTTTCCTCGGAATGGGAACATTCTGGAGCCTCGGGTTTAACCCTCGTTCTTTTCAGTGTCAAGTTCTGGTTTCTGTAAATACGAAGTTTTATTCGTATTTACAGAAATCCCATAAAATCCACATTTCTTTCCCCGTACTGTTAACAACTTACTCATTCTGTCTGACTGATTGAAGGAAGATCGGCCTCGAAATATCACTCAAATTTCATTTGCAGTAACATTTTTGTCTCATTTCATGTAAGTTTGAGAGAATTCCTATTCACATTTGCCAGATCTTTCCCACTACAGCGCGCGTATACACATTGCTTCTTTCAACACACGAGCCTTTTTATTGTAAATAACTCTCAAAAGGGTGTAAAATGTTTGTAGGCACACTGCAGCAACAAAGATTTTTCTGTCTGTTTCCTAATGTTTTGTTTGTCTCTGTATGATTTCTAAACGCCAGCTAATTGTAATGGTCTACAATTATTGTTAAGGATTGTTGTATTTATGTTTTTATTCATTCATTCATTTATTTTGTTGGCACATTAATATTAACAAACGGGAAAATGCCAATAGATGGCTGCACTATGCAGGAAGCAGTTTATTCTGAGTTTTGAGATGGCTTGCCCGCCACTAGTGTGGAAGTGTAGAATACAAAGTAATCATTAATTGTAAATTAAAAAGTACTGTTTTATTGTACATATTACAAATGAATTTGTAAAGTGTTTTTTGTAATTTTTCTGTTTGTTTAATTGTTTTAAGTTCCTAATATTTCACTCTGTGTTTTCAAGTGCAACGTTTGAACTGAAGAGAGAGAGAGAGAGAGAGTATCTCTGAGTTGGAAACCATGTGCTGGACTGTGCATGTCGAGTTTGTGTCAATCAAACTCTGGCATTATGTAATGCAGTTTTGGCTGATAAATTTTACTGTCTCAATATTTGTTTAATCACAAAAAATAATTTCTTCCCAAGCATGGGCATTCGATAACTCCAGGAATATTTATTTATTTATTTTTGGTTTTGCTATTTTTATTGCCTTTGTAATTACATTTGTTTTATATTCACCTGCAGTGAAGAATGAGATTTTTCGGAGGAGGAAGCTACTCCAGAGAAAGAAATGAACACTTTCATGAATATTTCATTGTCCTCTTTTCCCATCTGAAAAAAAATTGAGAAAATACGAGAATATTATGTTGCATGGTGCATAAGCTTATAAAAGCTGGAGGAAAACACCGGAATTCAGTTGTTTACTTACTGCTGTTATTGACTGTAGCGATTTCGCGTTGAGATCGGATTAACTTTTTCTACTTTGAATTTTGTTCCGGCCAACGTTTCCGTAAAACGTCCAATATAACTACTGTAAGTTATTGCGATATTGTAGAAATATCTGTGAGGATATTTCAGCATTGTGGTTCATTTGCTGTAGTAAGAATAAAATTTGCAATTGAATCTTGAATGAAATGAACTTTTGACGTCCTTGGCTTTTTAAAACTAGCCCCGCCCAAGGAGGAGGGGACTGACGCCTCCAGAATGGGAACATTAGAAAGGACCGCAAAATGATCCACTTGACTAGACAGAAATTGGTCATCCTTGTACACCTCTTTTTTTGTAACACAGGAGGAGGATGAAATAACGACATATCATAAAAAACCCCCAAGCAGCACTCGCTAACCTGAGTCTTCTGCACCCCCTTCTCCCCCTGCACGAATGCTCAGGACTTTTGAAATATGAAAAATTGAAAGTGAATTCATCACGCCAGAGAATTCTGCATCGCTTCTCGGCCTTTTGGCTAAGATCAAAGGGTTAATCAGACATTGCTCACGAGGACTGTTCGGATGGAAGACGCTCACCGTCCTGACGTTTTTTTGGGAGTTCTACGGTGCACCCTTTCCTGTTGTAGCTGTTGACCGTGGAGTGCCTGCCGTTCCCGCTGGAGGTCCTGTTGCTGGATCCATTGGAACCTGTTCCCGTGCTGTTCATGGAGTCCCTGGAGCAGCTGTTGACCATGGAGTGCCCGCCGTTCCCGCTGGAGCTATCCCTGGATCCAATGGAGTCGTCCCTCTTGCTCCGGGATCAGCCGCTGATGCTTCCCAAGCCATCCCTGGATCTATTGGAGCCTCTCCTGGTGCGCCTGATGCAGAAGCTGAGGCCCCCGGATTGTCTGAGGCCATTCCTGCCTACCCTGGAGCTTCTGAAGACATCCCTGTGACGGCCGGAGCCTTCCCGGTTGCATCTGTCCCTGGATTGATCCAATCCGTTCCGGCTACTTCCCAAGTCGCCGCTGCAGACCATGGATCCTCCGATGGAAACTCTTGTGTCGTCGCTGGATCTGCCGGAGCTATTCCTGCCCTTGGAGCGAGTGCCTCTCCCGAAATTGCCACTGGAGGTTCCAGAGCTGTTCCTGCATCTTCTAGTGCCACTGCTCATCCTGGAGTCGCCGCTGTGGTCCCTAGTGCCACGCCTTGCCTGCCCGGAGCCGGCTCGTCTGCCAGGAGTGTGCCCACCTACTACTACGGGAGTATCGCCACTAGTGAAGCCACGCCCACCGGGTCGTCCTCCTTGCCCAGACACGTGCCAGCTTTCGTTACACCCTCTGGACCGCCCCTTTCCAAAGGTGGACACTTACGCCAACTGTTGGATAGAATTCAAGCCAAGACTTCTGGCTGCACACCGCTCCTACCTGTGGTCACTTGTCAACCTAGTGAACGAAGGACACCAGAGGGTTCATCACTCGCCAAGTCTGCTCACACGTCCTCCTCTGCCAAGGACACGCCCACCACACCCCAGTCTACATTCGCATGCTACGTCTGCGGATTGGAGTGTACGAGCAGAAGGGGCCTCAGAAGGCATACAAGGACGCACGTGCAGGAGAAAGACAGTCAGCTCCACCCACCTCCTGACAGAAGGGTAGCTGCGAGCATTCCTGGGTCATTGATCTCGCCCGTATGTCATCATACACGGGCTCGGACGGCGGCTGGTCATGCCTGCTCATCGAACACACTCACGATCTCACCCCCACGCACTTACGCTGAAGCTCTTTCTTCGCCATCCATGAGAGAGAGTTCTGCTCATCCTGCTTCAACCGGTCCTCTCTGCGCAGTGATCACCTCCACCGCGGGGACGGAGTCTCTGACGTCCAACGTACCTGCTAAATCCAAGGTGTTTCCTGCGGAGAACACAAGGAACTTGCTGCCACCTTCGGAGACGTCAATCCCGTCGACACCATACTTCCACCCTCCCGGCCAGGAATTCTACTCCCACCGTCATACCTGGACCAAAGACTAATGCTTCCACACCTCAACTGGCGTCTGCCGTCACCTGCCCGGATTGTGGTCGCTCCTGCCTGAATAAGAAACAGCTGCGGTCCCATCGTCACCTCCGTCACAGACAGGCTCCGCCTCCCACCTCTCCTGGAGACGATGACTTTACCTCCTCAACTCCTGAGACACTGACTGACGCCGCTTCTTCACCGCCCGCTGCTCCTGCACCAGGCCCCGTCCACACGGACTGCACTGCCTCTGGCTCAACAGACGCTGCTCCTCAACCTGCTTTAACTGCCACTGTCCCGGTGACCACTTCGCCTAGTAAAGACCTACCTGGTGAATCCGATGTCGCACCTCAAGTACCCTGCCAGACACGCTTGGATACTACCTCCAGCGCTGGAGACACGACTGATGCGGACGTCCTCATCCTATGCCTCACTCCCTCAGAAAGGACTGATCTGCTCTCTGAATTGCCAGACAGCACCCGGTCATAAGCACTTCTAGAGAAATTTAACCTGGCCACGTCCAAAGCCCAAATCAGACGGCATTATTATGAACCCATTTGACAAGTAAATAAGAGATAAGAATACACTACAACAGCCAACATAAAGATTTTGACATAAAAATAAAAAAAAATAGTCTGTAATTTAATAAGTCCACTAAAATCATAAGTAGAGTAATGATAATCCATAAGTTTCATAAGAGTTAATGTTTAATTAAGTCATATAGTTCCGGACTTAATAAAAGGTGAGAAAAAGCTGTCCTGTGAACCACATAAAGAGGTTGCAAGCTGTCTGTAATAATGGGATTTATTACATGATATTTTGTCGTATCAATTGGCATATTTGAAAGAGCACACAAGATGAAAAGTAAACTCGTTATGCGTAGATATAGTCCATAGATTAAAGTCCAGTAAAATCTGGAGCAATGCAGAAGTCCGCATAACTCAGTAAAAAGTTCTATGTAACGGAATAGACACAAAACTACAGGCTCATATGTAATTGAGTAATTGTGGGCATATCATAAGAAGAAAGACTGTGGTTTTAAGCTGTATATATAAAATCAGTCACGCACTAACATAGTCGAAAAGATCACATTGAGCACGTTCAGATATATAAGATGCTTTGCAGAAGTCGTGTTATGCTCCGAAGCACTAGGTAGGAAACACACACGCCATGATGCTCTCACCAAGTGGACACAAAATGATAAATGATAAACATAGATTATACTTGAGAAATTGTGCACATCTTGAGCAGAATATGATGAGGCTACGAACAGTAAATAGTCGTACAATATTTGATGTTAATATTTTTCATATAAGATAGCACATATAAAGGAACACAACAAATAAATAATATTCATATTAGAGTAAAAATAGCCTAAAAAGTAAAATCCACAAAAGTCTGAAGCAGTGCAAAGGAAGATCACACTTCTTAATATAAAGTTCAATGCAACGGAATATATACGAAGTCACAAGCGCATATGTAATGAAGTCAGTGAGAGTGTCTAATAAGAAGAATGATTGTTACTTTATTCTGTATATAAAAACAATCACGCATTCACATAATCGAAGAGATCGCTATAGGCACGTACGGAAAAATATGATGCGTTGCAGAAGTCATGCCATACTCCGAAACACTAATTGAAAGGTACTCACATTATAATGCACACTCCATGTGGACACATAAAAAGACTGTATTACGAAAAATTTCTCATAGAATTATGCACATCCTAAGCAAGGTTATATAATACCAGAAATATACAAAATTTAGTTTGATGACACAATAATTTGGCAGAGAAAAGATGTGTTAAGCAGATTCAAAGAATTAAACTCCATATTAGGAAGAAGCAATCGTCAGTATGAGATGATTAAAAAAAAAAAAAAAAAAAAAAAAAAAAAAAAAAAAAAAAACCAGCTCGCTTCTGAGTGAAATGGTTTAGAAATAAGAAAAAGTACTTTGACAGAAACGCATTAAATGAGAAAGACGATTAGAGAGATTTTTATTAGAATGAACCTGGTTAACAAAGTGTCGGAGATTAACTGTAGAGATAGGTTGGAGATGAAAATGAGAAGTTAACGGACAAGAATATATAAAATGATCTGGATCTCCGGTACCGCCACAGGGACAATGAGCTGAGGGACGCAGATTAAATCGATTCAGATATGAAGGAAAAGGGCCATGACCCGTCAAATACCATGTTAAATATGATGTAGAAGTTTGTAATGAGAAGGATACACGAGGGAGAAAACTATAAGTCCGTCGACCCACTACATCGGTGTCCCAGCGCCCCTGCCAAATGGACAATAAAGAATTATAAGAAGCACGCTTAAGAAAAGAGGGAGGAGCAGGAAGAGATGAGAGAGATCGATGAGAAAGAGATGCAGCCTCCTTTGCTAACTGATCCGCCGTTTCATTTCCTACAATACCCACATGAGCAGGTATCCAGGCCATCCACGGCCGGTCAGTCACTGGAATGGACTGCAAGTCAATCTGTATTTCCCTAACCAAAGGGTTACGAGATGGTAATTGCAATAAAGACTGAAGGCTGGAGGCTGAATCAGAAAAAATTGAGGAGGTCAAAGGAAGGAAAGATGCTGCAAGTCGAACTGCTTTGCGCAGTGCAAAAAGTTCAGATTGATAAACAGAATTGGCCGGACCAAGACTCCTTTTCCAAGAGAATTGGAGAGTTTGTTGAGAATAGACACAAAGACCGCAGCCCGTGCCCTCATCAATGCGAGAACCATCTGTAAATATTGAAAAATCTGTAGAGGGTAAATTTGAGCTATTATGTGAAATTCTAAGTGGGAGATCAAATTCAGAAGGAGAACATATAAAAGTAGAATAATGATGCGTATAATCTGAAGGATTGTAAGTCATTCCCCACAATGAAAATGAATGCCGAAGACGAAGAACATTTGCTAACATAGACTCTCGCTCCACTGATAAATCAAGGGGAGGAACTCCACTCAGGACTTGTAAAGCAGAAGAGGATGTTGTGCGATAAGCACGAGTGATTAAGAGTAAGAACGGACGCTGAAGACTTATGAGACGACGTCGCATCTGAAGTGAGAGAGAACGTCCCCAGGCAGAGGAAGCGTATAAGACTACACGTTCAATTACAACGCGATACCATAACTTCAAGATGAAGGGAGGAACGCCCCAAGATCCACCCGTGACTTTAAAAAATGAATTAGTAAAAGAAGCGAGACGTCCCTGAAGAAATTTGAGGTGAGAAGTCCAAGAGAGGCGATTATTAATTACAAGACCCAAAAGTTTGATGTCAGTGGTAAATTTAATTGATTGACCAAGAAGTTTTAACGATGGATTCCTGCGAAGCATGCCTTTGCGACCAATTAATATTGCTTGTGTTTTGGAAGGTGAAAGTGTGATTTTATGTAGCTTGGCCCAGTTTTGTATAAGATTAAGACAATATTGCGTATGTGATTGAATTTGTGAACGACCAGATACTACTAAAACAAAATCATCAGCATAGGCTAAAAGTTTCGCATCCTCCACCGAATCAAATTGTTGTAGGAGAGAATTGGCTACCAAATTCCAAAATAGAGGCCCAAAACAAGAACCCTGGGGACAGCCTCTCGATAAATCTTTGACATAGACGTCGGTAGAAGTTGAAATTTGAACAGAGCGAGAACAAAAATAGCTACTGACAAAATTTAGAAGATATGATGGACAACCAACATCGATTAAAGTTTTCATGACATCTGGCCACCATAGTGCATCAAATGCACCACGGATGTCCAGAGAAATGAGAACGGAATGGAGGTCGTTGACTCGATTATGCTCCAGGATAGTGAAAAGTTTATCGAAAAAATGGTCAGTGGAAAGATTAGAGCGAAACCCAAATTGTGAAGGATGAAAAAAGTGAATCTGTTCAAGAAAATAATTAAGTCGAAGAAGGATTGTCCGCTCCAAAAGCTTGCCAAAAGCTGGAAGAAGACAAATAGGGCGATAAGAAGTGGTTAAAAAGGGATCTTTGTCTTTTTTAAGAAACAAAACCACTTCAGCTATTTTACTTGCCGAAGGGAAATGTTGAAGTTTCCAACAGGCATTCAAAAAGGAAAATAGAAGATCAGGAAAAGAAAAATAAAGAATCTTGATGAGATTATTATCTATGAGATCAGGACCCGGAGCTTTCCTGGAGTTCAACGAACGAATTAACAAGTCTACCTCAAAGCGTGTCGGAAGTACTACATTCCCCTCAGGTTCCGCCAAGCGGGATTGTTGAAAGAGTAGACGAGAGATTGTAATTGTTGAGAGGAGTCAGTAGGAAGGATCATCCTGCCCAAATAGTTCATCTAAAAAAAAAGATTCTATAAAAATCAGCTTGTGTACTTGCGGATGGAATTATCTGCATTGGCAAACGAAATGGACGAAAAGACTTTATCAACGACTACCTTGAACACAAAATCGAAGGAATCTGACACTGAAGAGCACAATGAAGTCCAAGATGCTCGCTTAGCTCTTCGAATCTCTCGTTTAAAAGGAGAGATTTTAAAGAGAATTGGAAAATTTTAAAGAGAATTGGAGAGTTTGTTGCCAAAGATACAAATTGCCTGTAAACGGCGATATGCAAGAAAACGTGCATTGCGAATAGATGGATCAACGGCTGATTGAGCATGACGACGTGAAGCGCGTACTCTCCTACGCAACCGCTGAAGAGAAGAGTTCCACCAAGATGACTGACGAAATCGAGGAGACCTTTTGAATTTAAATGATGAAAGAGATTCAACATAAATAGATTGTATGAAATTAGAATATATAAGATCAAGATCTCCGACAGAAGTGCAAGAAGAAAATTGGTGAGTAAAATTTTGAGCAGAAGGTGCAAAACTTGTAATGAAAGGTTGAGGATTAACACCCAGGGTTTTAAAACGAGCAACGGAGGAAAAAGAGATAGTGTCGACAAAATTGAAAAGTAATATACTGATGGTCACTAAGACTGACCAAATCAGAACGGACTTGCCAATTTTGGATGAATGGAGAAAGTGAGGCACTGACTAGAGAAAATCAATCCAACCCTGGGAGCGAGAAGTTAAAAAGGGTTGGAAGTGAGTCAGAAGTGTTAAGAACGAACCAAATGGTGGAACGTAAAAAATTCAACTAATTGAGAACCACGAGGGGAACAATCACTGGCGCCCCAAAGGGAATGTGAAGCATTAAAGTCTCCAAGAATTATATGTCTATAACCAGGCCTGCAACGACTGAACATTAAATCTAGATCCCGCAAAAAATTTGTTAAATCATCATTGGGAGGAACGTATACAGAAGTAAGGAGAAATGTAGCGGTATCTGTTGAAAATAATGCAGTGACAAAATATTGTGAATGATAAAATAATTTAAAGGAAAAGAAGAAGAAAATACTAAAGCAGACAGCCCCGAGTCAGACTGATAAAAAGATTGTTGTAAAGGGAGACCAGCAATTGAATTATGCAAAGAATAAAATTCCTGAAGGAAGGCAAAATCGAAAATCT